TGTGTATTTTTAGAATAAAAACATCAACATCTGACCTGCTTTAATACTTTGAAACACTCAGACACTTTCATAAATCATCGTAAACACCACAGAAGACTTTTACCGGATTCCTGTAACCCACTGCTCATCCCACTCCAACATCAATCACTGTTAATGCCAGTGGGCCATCCAGTGGACATAAGCATGAACTGCAACCTTTCTGACAACATTGAGCATATACTGTAAGTCCAGTTGAAACGCCTCAAGACAGAAATATATATTTGAAGCACAGTATGGAAATTCTATGTTATGCAGATCATGAAAAAGGCAAAAACTGGTATAATGATTTGTTTTTTATCTGTATAATAAAGAGCAAAATATGGAAAACAGAGATTTCCTGCAGCATTTTTAAGTAAGTTTTAAAAAGTGTCTTGCTCAATATCTTTTCAGCCGTGCAAGATCTTGCTGGAACAAAAAACAAAAGACTTTATCCAGATGAGGCCCAGACTTTATGTAACTTTTAGCCTGATTTGTTTCTCAGAAGTGCTTTATACTGCAGAGAAATCCAACAATCGGTCAGTGCCCTCCCTTTTCTTTTTCAGCTTTTTATCATGCTTTGGTGGGGAATGGCATATGTGAGGTATTTGTTCTCTACTAAAACAAATACAACTAAGTGTGCTTCAGCAGTCATCATGAATTTGGTTTTGTTGACTTGCACATTTGACCACTACATCCCCGCTTTCCCCTTATCTGTGTGAAGTCACGCAGACTGAATAACTCAGATTTCAGGTAGCTGGGGAAAAAACAATCACACCAATCTGGCTGACTGCATGACCTCTCGGACCTGCTGCTCTCGTCTTTCTTCGTGTGTGCTGCTGTGCTGACCTTCTACCGCAGCTAAAATCCTCTTTTATGTAACCCACAGAAACAGCTCTCTGTTGTCCACTCTCCTGTCAAAACCCCAAAGTTGTTTGCACCAGCAGGGCTTCCAGCTGCTGTATTGACCCTGTCTGCTCCCTCAGACTGCTACTGTTGCTCTGCTGTACCATATCCTCACTGCCAAAACACAGCTCCTTGACGACATGAAGCTCTGCGACATATTGCTGTTGCATGCTGCTGTTGTCCCTTAAAAGTCCCTTCAATAATACTGCTATGTCTTTTACATTATTAAAACACAGTAAAGATCGTAATGCTTTATGTGAGCAACTCCACACACAACAGATTAAGTTGTAATCCTGTGCTGGGGGAACAAGGTTCACATGTTTCCCTTTTTTTTACCTTTCTAAAGGGAACCTTTTATGCTTTTCTTCATCTTCTGCCAAATATAAATTCACAGTGGTGGATGCTGATATTTAATATGTCCAATGTTTTGAGCTAATTCATTGGGTTTCGGCCTGTTTAATTTTGTTTGTTTGTTTGTTTTTTGTCTAATCCTGTCATCACATTATTTACGAGAAAGAAAATCATTCAACATCATTAGGTATTGTTTTTGTGTTGGCTGCAGTTTCTTCAATTCTAACATTTATTTTTGTTTTTCTGTCCAAACTTCAAGCCCAGGCGCCTCTGAGTGCGTTGACCTTCCCTGTCTTTAAATTCACTACCTCCACAGACTTTTTTGTTGTTGCTCACATCTTTTTTTTTTAAAGCCCTGAGGCTGGCACACAGCAATACCAAAGGAACTTCAACACCATACCTACCAGCACTGATGCAGCTTTGACCCCAACTCCCTGCCTTCCCCAGGCTGTCTTTAAATGAAGCGACCTTCCCACCTTGTGAGAAGTTTACAGTCAAGTTTGGTCTTTTGGAAGCTTTTGCCTGAATTATCAATTTTTCTTCACTTTAGTCCTGCTTAGATGTTTTTGTTTTTGAAGGTGAGCTATTATGCTCTTCTATAGTTTCACGTTTTTTATCCTTAGACTCTACCATTGTGTTTTTGTATCATTCATATTGAGAAATTAAGATGTTTAATGATATTATAAAGCCAAAATTAGAAAAAGACTTTCCACATCAAGCCTTTGGCTCACAGGTCACTGTGAGTGATAGGGATAGGATTGTACTTTTCAGCTACTTGGGATACCAAAATGATTAAAAACAATAATAATTTTTTATGTTTATTGAACCTTGGCCAGTCTTGGTTGCCGGGGATTGCTCCGCCAGGACCTCTGCTCCTGGTGGCCGCCCAGCTCACAATGCATCCGACCCCTACGGTGCCCACCACCTGCAGGAAGATGGGCCCATGTCCCTTATTTTGGTCTGTGCCCAGCCGGGCCCCATGGACTAAGGCCCGGTCACCAGACGCTCACCCTCAGACACCCTCCCTGGGCCTGGCTCCAGGGTGGGGCCCCGACAACTCTACCCCGGGGAGGGTGAACTATTCCCTCGGTGGTTTTCTCATAGAGGTCTTCTAAATCGCTCTTTGAACCTTCTGACAAATGAAAGAAATTAAGTAACAATTTGCATTTAGAAGTCATATTGTTTTTGCTACAGCCTGTATTTGTGTTTAGGTGTTTCAAGTGAATGGAAGTCACATTGACGATAGAGGTTTTAAATATTCATGTATAAAATATTATACACTTGGAATTACAGGGTCAGGTTAATTTTAGCATCCACCACTGGATATGTATATAACGTCCCCTTTAATGAGTTCAATGAGTTCATTTATTATAAGATTACATCATTGTTTTCCGTAGCTGCTACCGTTTTTTGCAGCTGCCAACTGATCATTTGGGAATACTCTTAATTATAGTAGGCTTAGGCTTAGGGCATCAATAATTATACTGGGATAGTTTAATCTATTATATTTTCCAGCATAATTTAATTTCACATTGATGTCTTCTCAGTAAATAGCTCTGTTTTAGCACATGGTTATTGTATGTCTGGAATAATTGTAGGTATCTGTGGCTAATCCGTCTGAGTGTTCAGGAAGATGCCAAATCAGCCAACACTACATCCAACAGCTCTCCATAGTCTCAGGTGTAATAGAAATGAGCACAAATTATACTGATGTTAAACCCTGGCCAGTAGCAAAATGCCTGTTTTGTTTCCCACTTATTGAAAGTGACACCTCACAGCGTTTTAAAGATTTATCTGGGTGTAATTGTCGTATTGACCGTGGGCATTGAATAAGCAACCGTCACTGTTTTTTGTTGTACATAAAAAATCAATTCTTTACTTATTATACAAGCATACTAATGAAAAAGCAAGGTAATGCCTGGTATTTTTCCACTGGCCCTAGGACTAAATGCTAGGCTACCCAGGTGAACAAATACTTAAAACAATATGTGGTTTCTATAACAACACAAGCTGGTTGTGTCCAGGTAAATACCACGCTGCATCTAATTGTTGCCAGAACTTTTCTTTGATTTAAAGTTTAGCACGCATCCTGTTCAATTCTGTGATTTTAGGATTTAGATGTTTGTCAGATCCTTGGAATCACTAAGTCGGAGGAGAAAGAGTAAGATAATGAAATGAAGCATGTTGACAAACTATGCGTGACAGATCATCTCTTGCCTCCCGCCCTCCCCTCATTTCCAGACAGGGTTGGGCCAAACAGCAGGTGGTGCAGAGGAGAAGCCTGGACATGGGATATACAAATCTCTGGCTCCCTGACTTCTACACCAGGCAAGCAAGAAGGAGCAATAAATGCTAGATTTATATGTAAGTGTATTTTTTTTTATCACCAAATTCTTTGTACTGGTTGGAGATTTATGTATTTCATGTGTTTTGTCTTAAAAAGACAGAAAATAGCACATCACGTGTGGGTGTTACGCTATGTACTCAGTTAATTTCACTGTGAATGGGGCTTTCTCTTGTGTGAATGCAGTTACGTAAGTTATGTATTATGGTCTTCAACTTGAGTAATCACTCAGAAAGTTGTAATATATTACATTTCTTAGATGTCAATGATCGCCAGATGATTTTTACTGAAATTCTCCACCCTGATTAATTGATTGTTGAAAAAATATAGGAATAAAGTGAATTGTTGATCAATGCTGCCATCAGATTTCAGGGTTTGCACTGCCTTTAAATGTTTAATAGAAAAGTCTAATTAGCAGCACAATCATGACGTGCAATGCATTTAAAGAGCAGAGACATTTAAAGTAAAGATAAAAAAATACTGTACACATATTGCTTTGTGAGATTCATAGTCTACACATTAATTTATGATATTTGCCTCCCAAGAGTGCATTAATATTGCAGAGGGGTTTACTCTGATGGGAATAAAACCCTGGGAGCTGAGAATTTTTGTTAAAGGTCAAGTTTGCCATACAGAATACACTCTGCGTTTCACCAGGGAGGGTGTTCGGATTGGTTGAGGATTTTAAAGAAGGATTTCAATGCATCTGTTTAAGTCTAAAGCTTGAATGTTAATGTGCACATTTGGTTGTTGCTATTCATTTATTCCCCTAAATGTTCTGTTTAAGGTGTATAATTTTCATGTTTTATCTTTGATAGTATTTTTAAGTAACTGTTATGTACCTGATATATCTCATTTGTATCATGATTATAACGATTTGTGTTGTTTTTCCAAGATTTTACCCCTAATTGTCTTTCATGTTGTTGTTTTTGGAGGGGCGTTTTTGTTCAGACAGCTCAGGTGTCACAGCAATAACATCTTGGGTCAAAGCCTGCTGAATAGAGTTACACGTGGACTTGAAGAGACAAATCAGGAGTCAGATCAAATGACTCAAAAGAGGAGGAAAAAAAGCCACCCTTTAATCTCAGGACTGCAGTTGTGATGTGAATTGGAGAAGCTGAGGGCCAATGGCCATTTTAAGACATGGAGGCGCTCCTGTTCGGCTTCAAAAATCTTTTGGTAGATGAAACTTGATGTAAGCATGGGGTCAAAGAAGCAATAAAAGATTCTCTCCACTCACCTGACTTCTGCCAGCATGCCGTCACAGCATAGATGATTCACCCTTTGAAGAGGCGAAGCTGGGAACTACTGTGGTGTAATGATGTAGCAGCTACAGGTGACTTACACTTGGCTTATGATTTAGGACAGGCCGACCACAGACAGTATGGAAGGGCAGACAATCTCTTGGGTCTGGATATATGTAAACAGTACGGAACAACTGAACACTTCATATCCATACAATGCTACAGACTTAAGCGAAAACTCAGACAAATACCAGTCATACATCGTTGGTCTCTTCCTTTCCTGCCTGTATACCATCCTCCTTTTTCCTATTGGATTTATTGGTAACATCTTAATCCTGGTGGTGAACCTGAACCACAGAGAGAAGATGACCATCCCCGATCTTTACTTTGTTAACCTGGCTGTAGCTGACCTCATCCTGGTGGCAGATTCCCTCATTGAGGTCTTTAATCTGAATGAAAAGTATTACGACTACGCCGTCCTCTGCACCTTCATGTCACTTTTCCTGCAGGTCAATATGTACAGCAGCATCTTTTTTCTCACGTGGATGAGCTTTGACAGGTACATCGCCTTGGCTAGCTCCATGAGCAGCAACCCACTGAGGACTATGCAGCACGCCAAGCTCAGCTGTGGCCTCATTTGGATGGCCTCCATCCTGGCCACGCTTCTCCCCTTCACCATTGTGCAGACCCAGCACAGAGGTGAGGTGCACTTCTGTTTCGCCAATGTCTTTGAGATTCAGTGGCTGGAGGTAACCATTGGCTTTTTGGTGCCCTTCTCCATCATTGGTCTATGCTACTCTCTGATTGGGCGAATTCTCATGAGGGCCCAGAAGCACCGTGGACTGTGGCCACGGCGGCAGAAGGCCCTGCGCATGATTGTGGTGGTGGTTCTGGTATTCTTCATCTGCTGGCTGCCAGAGAACGTCTTCATCAGCATTCAGCTACTGCAGGGCACAGCTGACCCATCGCAGAGGACTGCTACCACCCTGTGGCACGACTACCCGCTCACAGGCCACATTGTTAATCTGGCAGCTTTCTCCAACAGCTGCCTCAACCCCATTATCTACAGCTTTCTAGGAGAGACCTTCAGGGACAAGCTGCGTCTCTTCATTAAGCAGAAGGCCAGCTGGTCGGCCGTGAACCGCTTTTGCCACCATGGTCTTGATTTACACCTCCCTGTCAGGGGTGAGGTGTCAGAGGTGTGAAGAGAGACAGTTACTAAAGTTACACAAACTTGCGTCAAATCAAAGTTACGTATCAGTTTTCTTCAACTGTTATTTAGCTTTGCCTCATACAGTAGCTTTGCCAGTGTCTCAGTTAACCTGCTCACTTTCTGAACAAAAAAATTAAGGATTTACACCATGAGAAGGAAAACAAGGTGTTTAGTAAATATCAAACACACAAATACAGTATATAAAATCTATTTCATGCTAATCTCCAAATTTACTTTTCCTTAAGTTCTCTGTGTGGCATCAGAAAATGAATGACAAGCGAGATGTTGGTATGTGCTATTTAAAGTCTGGCAAAGTGAGATTAATAATAATAATAATAATAATAAATATATCACCCTGTGTGATATATATATATAGCATAAGGACGCCTACACATCCACACCATCATGTGGCCTCATTTGGAACTAAATTAGCAACCGTCTTTGCTCTCTTCCTGTCTAAGACAATGCAGTGCCTATTTATTTCTGCTTTTAAGTTTTTTCTTTACTTTTGTTGAAATGTTGCCATGTTTAGTGAAAGTGGACCTATTAAACTTATTTAAAACTCCAGATTTTTATGTTTTTACTCTACTGGAGTGACTTTGCATAATTCACAGTTCCAAATAATCCATATTTATCTCATACTGGGGGTCATTCAGCCCCTCAGTTCAGCTCCCTGCAAAAAAAGACGTAGCTCCTTCTTTATTAGCTGCCCCTTGCAAGCAAAAGATTTGCAGATCTATCTCTGACAGCCATATTTGGTATAACCAGCCTCATAAAGAGCTATAAGTGGATGAAAATCTACATTTCTTTTACATGGATTTAGCAACCTGAAATGTTGGCCATGTTTAACATGACAGAAAACAAAGAAAAGCATAATAGGTCCACTTTAAACATTCACTGGAGCATGCAAACACATGTTCACAAACTTACTTTATTGTTATAAATAAAGAAGATGTCCCACTTTTCCATGAACTGAAAGTCAAAGTTATTGATAGCATCAATAAACCTGTTTTAAATATTGAGATTATTTTGTAGATCTTTCAGGAAATAGAAGTTAACACACAATCTCTATTTCTTAATTGATAAGCAGAACATTTGTGCTCATATTTATATTGAATCCACTGTCAGAATCGGGATCAGGGCTCAGTTTAAAGATGGCTGCAGTTATTACCTCACTTGTCAGTTCCTGTTAGCATGACGGTAAAGCAAAGAGGCAGGTGTTGTTTTTGCCAGAAGAGCAGGAGACTGAGTAAACATATCATTCAATGCTAACAACATAAAGCTGCTGCTTCATTCAGGCTTTCTTTAACATATATTCTTAATTTCTAAGTACAGAGGCTTTGACAGACAACATTTCATCTTCTCATACTGCATCCACATATTTTATTTACAAGGTAAAAACTTCTCTTTTTTAGGTAGAATCAAACAACTAATGACAGTAACACAATTTGGCCAGTCAGACATGTGTTTGTTCCAGATTCACTGTGTTCCCAGAGGCCATCACTGCGATATAGCTGCCTGTAAATTGACAAAATGATTTTGACAGAACATTATAAACATTAAGATAATGACCACAAAGGTTAATTTTATTCAAATGAGCAGGTGCAGTGTACAAATTTTCAACTGTATGGTCCCTGAGGCGTTGCATGAAACCTGTCATAATTTGTTTGTTGATCTGTAATCAACGTCGTAAATTCTTGTGTAGTACTGCACTTCCTTCTTAATTTCACAAGTGGTTCTAGTCATATATTTTATCCTTTATTATAACATGGTTCAAAGCATATTAACAGTGTTATTTACATTTTTACAAAAGCAAACATTTTACAGTATCATGCATTATGAATACTGGATACAGGAATTGCCATCACAACCAGGTTATCTTTATACACAATCTGTGTATTGCCAGCCTGCAGGCCGTGTGTGTGTGTGTGTGTGTGTGTGTGTGTGTGTGTGTGTGTGTGTGTGTGTGTGTGTGTGTGTGTGTGTGCATTAGGCGACCAAAGATAATGGCGTAACTGGGAAAAACAGGAGTCCAAACCACAAACTGTTATTCCAGCTGTAACGGGCCCTCAGCCTGGGAAAGCTACTCTCAGTATTGCTTCAGTGATTGTTTATTAGACATCTGCAAAAAATGCTAAACTTTTTGCAGTGCACGATGCTAAAAATTCTCTCGACTAGTGTTTCCATTACGCTAATTTTGGTTTTTTGTTTTGCACTTTCCCCATTCAACAAGCTCTGCTTTTCACACCTGTCCATAAATCTGTTAATCTTAACAAAGATTAAGCACAGATTGTATATTTGGAAATTTTATATGAACGTAGACATATCTGAAGATTTATAATGTTCTGTAAACGGCACATGGCTATAAGAGTGCCGTGAGGGCACAGAAACAGGAAGACAGGCAAGTAATAATGCAATGAGGACTGTCAAGTTCATTGATATAATTAAGCAACACCTAGACTCCAGAGGCAAGACCCTCTTTGTTGAGCCCTGAAGGAGAGGCAAAACCCCCCATCTGTACACATATAAACACACACAACTATGAGAAGAGCTTTTCAGTGAACTATGTGAACAGCTGAGACTACTGAGGAAGGTTAAAGGGTTGTGGTGGCTGACGTCACAGAAGGGAAAAGGGTGCAACTTTTCCACTGCCTAAATTCAGTCCTTCCTCTTGATAATTCTGACTTGCACAATAAGCAAGAACCATTTGATAAAAGCACAGAATGAAATACTATTGACTTATCCAATGTTTGAATTTTTGTTCATTCCTTAAGACGGAGATCTGCTTTATTTCTTCATAGTTTGCTTCCAAGGAAAAACAATCGATTGTAATTGTTTAAAGTGGTCTTGAGCAACAGTTCTTCGCTCTTTCTGGAGGGTTTTAACAGTTCTTCTTCTTTCCCACGTCATTTGAATCCAGTGCTTTTACCTGACCATTTTCAGAACAATGTTTTTGTTTGTCAGAGGGCCCGGTGGCGCCAGTGTCCGGCAGCCTCGCCTCTGTCAGTGCGCCCTAGGGTGGCTGTGGCTACAATGTAGCTTGCCATCACCAGTGTGTGAATGTGTGTGAATGGGTGGATGACTGGATGTGTAAACCGCTTTGGGGTCCTTAGGGACTAGTAAAGCACTATACAAATACAGGCCATTTACCATAACATAGACTTATGAATCATTCAAAGCAGCTAATTCAAAAGTTAGCTGACTGAAGGGATGAACCAATTATGTGTCTTCGGTCTGAACAGTCTCTCAAAGTATTGTCCTTAAGAATTAAGAGGAAATTCAGCAGACACCTGACAGAGGACCTGAGAGATGCATCTGACCCTTCAGTTGATCCATCTGTTGTTTGCCAAAGCCTCAGACAAGTAAGGGTGGCTGTCAAGAAGCCATTATCAAGGAAGGGAAACAGATAGAAAAGGCTGAGGTATGCCAGGTATTACACAAGAACTGAACTGAAAAATAGTGGCAACAGGTCTCATGGAATGATAATTCCAAGTTCAAAATGTTTGTTTTTTTCATCAGCATGTATGGAGAAGATTGAGAAAGAGGTGTTGACAGCCATCTGTAAAGCACGGTGGAGGCTCTGTCATGGTTTGAGGCTGAATTCTAGCCAGTGGTGTTTGACATTGTGCCAAAAGTGATGGAAATATGCACACAGAAAGGTACAGTCGGAGTTTGATCAACCATGCAATGCCATCTAGAAAATATCTGACTTGCAATGGCTTTATTTTTCAAGGATGACAATGATCCCAAACATACTGATATTAAGGTAAAAGCATGGAGCGATTGAACAATATCAGTCATGGATTGGCCTCCAGAGTGCAGACTACAACACTGAAGCAGTGTGGGATCATCTTGACAGAGAAGAGAACAAAAGGCAGCCAACATCTAAAGAAGAGCATTACATTCAATTCAACTCAATTCAATTTTATTTATATACCACAAAAGCAGTCTCCTCAAGGTACGTTTTATTGTAACGCATAATAACAATGTCCTTCAAGAAGCCTCGAGACCTATTTCTGAAGACTGCTTAAAGAAACTACAAGAAAGCTTGTCTAAGAAAGTTCTAGCTATGTTGAAGAATAAAGGTGGTCATACCAGACACTGACTTTTAAGCTCAAAATATTTCTATTAACTCCATTTTAGCTTTATGTACAGTATTTCCATGCATGTTTGCACATTTCAATAAAGCTGCGCACCTATTTCTCATTTTCCTAATAAAATATAAAAGAAAGGTTGGGTGGCTCAAGACTTTTGCACATTACTGTATGTTGAAGAATTCGTATTGCTGAAATCTAAAAAGAATCTATCCTCTGCTATGAACATGAGCTGCTTACAGCATACCAAAAATAATGCTTGAAAAATATGATTCTGCTCCTTAAATGTTATTTTTACATAACAAACATTCCCAACATTGTCTAACTGTAAGCTTAGCATAGGTGGGGCATGTCAATGTAATTACAACGGGATGCTCTGGAGCTTATGCATAAATATAAGGCAGTGCACTCGGTGCACCTGAGCAGCTGAATAATGGATGAGCTGTATAATTGCATTTGTACATTAAAATCCCAGGAAAAAAGAACTTGAACAGTGCAGATTATATTCCCAGATACAGGAGTAAAGACCCCTGAAACTACCTGATGTCAATTTAATGTGGAATTCTGGTAAGCTGAGAAAGATGCAAAAAGCAAAACAACTACTCCTTTAGATTTTTCAACAATAAAGAAACAGAAAAAACAATCTGATCTATCACCATCTCATAACATAACTTACTACATCAAAGCTTACTTACTACAAACTACATCACATTGATTTTTATCTGTCATTCCAGATAATTCATCATTCAAGCATATTTTTTAAATCCTGTGACATAACAGAAAGTTGGCCTGAAATCGGTTAGATTTAATGAACACTCAGCACATAACATGAAAAACAACTGATTCTAAGATGAAGTTTGGTTTTCTGGCCCTCTCTGACTGGAGCTTTAAACTCCACTTGTTGCTCAGTGATGGCTTGATAATCCTTTAAAAGGTTTAATTGGATGAGAGACCATTTATTTATACTACTCACAAGCAGTAAGGTGCATTTGACTAAACAAAGTCACTTTTTTCAAGTAACACTGAGTGTTTTACAGGTTTTAACACGACAAGCTTAATGATTGCAACTATTTAAAAACAAACAGACAGATAAAGGTAAATAAAGGCAGAGAAATTATTTAACACAAAAGCTATTTTTTTTACTTTTGTGTTTAAGCCAAATATTAAACACAACCTATAACAAAACAGCTATTCAGACTATTAAAAATAAATACAAAAGAAAAAGAAAGAACGCCATATCCATAGGTAAAAACTACAAAAAGAATGACTGAAATATCATGAAATCTCTAAACGAATGAAAATCTAAGTACAATACAAACAAATACAGGTATATTGGTATGAGGCGTAACAAAGGCATGTGAATAAGATATAAACAGTGTGTGAAGTGAGTCATCGTTCCGTGATTACAGTGCCCCCATACTGCCCCCGTGCGGCCGCGTTTGGTGTTTGCAGTGCGCTGGCGTGCAGGCGAACATGCATTCACGGGAGCAACAGATCCGAGCGCATGCGCAATTCATTGTTTTGACTGAAAATGCCGTCGGTTTCGAAAACGGCGGCCAATGCGTCTCCTCAAACCGAGAAACCTACCCACTATACGTGAGTAAAGCTGCTGCAAAGAAACAACAAAATCGTTCGCTGCTGAAAATGCTCGTTTGAACGCGCACCTTTGCTCGCGTGCATTTCCAGCATTCCTCAACTCCTGTGCGTGCGTTAAAAACATGGTGCTTTTCCTGGCTTTGTGACTACCTAACGTTACATAGCAGACAGCGACTGTACGCTAAAGACATCTGCGTCAATACAGGAAACTCTAGGATCTTAAATCACCAAACTGGTTAGCCAACCGTTAGCGGGATCGTTTTGAAGTGTTTCGTGCTGTTGATGAAAGGGTTTTGATGGGTCTGGTTAATATTACACCGTCAACTTGGTTCGCTAAATGATTAGCCAGGAACTCGCTAACCAGTCCGCTTGTAAATAGCTCGGCCTTATTTTGAGTTCCCTCTTGCTACGCACATTTATAGACGTACGCTCAGGTGCTCTGTACGAGCTTTACGACGAAAAACATACGTAGTCTTCACTCAGCATAGCAAGCTAACTCTACTGACCCAAAATGTATAGTAGGCTACAACACGACTCCCTGCTAAACTTTTCCCTTGGCTAAGCTCTTAGTTGCTAGCGTATAGCCGTTTAAATCCCGCTTCGTGTTTGCCCTGCTTGTTTCAGATACTTGAAGGAGTTCAGGACAGAGCAGTGCCCGTTGTTCCTCCAGCACAAGTGTACGCAGCACAGACCCTTTACGTGCTTTCACTGGCATTTTCTCAACCAGCGACGAAGGCGACCCATACGAAGAAGGGACGGGACTTTCAACTACAGCCCCGACGTTTACTGCACCAAGTACGACGAGACCACAGGCATCTGCCCAGATGGCGATGAGTAAGTCCCGCAACTTCAGTCAGGGCAGCTACATGAGTGTGTCACTGCGTCCTGGCAGCTGTTGACGTTTGAAGCATGTTTGTTTTATCTCAGTTTACTCTTTTCATGTCCTGTTTTACATTTTTCAGGCTGTATGACCAAAATAGCTTTCCTGAAAGGTTTTAAAGAATTTTAGTTGTTTATGTATAATGAACTTTGTCTCGCACATAAAATGAAATTAATAACAAGTAAAAAAGCAAATAAGAAAAAATGATGCCAGCATTAGGTAACATATTTTGTTTAATTTTAACATCAGTATTGCTTAGAAATGTCCATTAAAAAATGACTCAGTGTTTTGTGTATCTGATATACGGCTGCACATTTAATCGAATATTAATCTCAATCGTGATTTTGATTTTCCACAATAAAATGATGATGATTAATTGATATTGTAAATCCGTCCTTTGCCAATAGAACATAAAGCAAGAGCAAATCAGACACTCCCTGACGACATGCCTGCCTGTGCCAATCATAGCTGTTACCTGCAGCACACTACACAGCCTCAGGGCTCCTAAATGCACTGGACCGCAGTGATGACATACTGTAGATAACAAACCGTTAAAAAGTCTGTCAGCGCAGCAGAAAGTGAAGAGCTCATTCCTAGAAGTTGGATCATCATCATTTGTTGTTTAGAAATGCTTTGGATTTAGGGCAGGTGATGTTAATAAATGCAACAAGCCTGCAGCATTTTTTCTAGATGTGTTGCGCCACAAAACAGCACAACTACTCAGTGTTCCATCCGCTTTACAAAGCAATCACATTCTTTTTGGCCAATGATGTGCCTCCATGAAAATGGACTTCAGGTTTATCATGCAGGTACAATGAATTGCATTAAAGGCTTTATATTGTGCTTCAAAAGGTGCACTTCGGTCTGGTGTATATCACAACACCTCAGAATTTTTAAATGAATAGCAATGGAGCACAATGTAAGAGTAAAAGCTGCACTTATTTTGGGGCTTTTTCCCCCCAATATTTTTCTTCTAAAAGCTTCACTGAATGAGGACCAGTTTTATTTGAATACAAATTTTTTTACATAGTTTTGTCATGCAATATGAATATAAAAACAGCTTTATATCTTTTTGTTAGTTTTTTTTTTAAATCACAAAAATGAATCAATCATTTTGTTAAATATTCACAATCCCAGTATAGAACCAAGCAACTGTGATAAGCATTTTGGCCATAATTGTACAGTTCAAGTTTGATAGTGATAATAGGGGGGGGACATTTCCATTATGTATGTATGTATGTTTTGTTGTTGTTTGTTTTTTTTTAACAATCTTTTTAACAATTTTGTATGAAGGCATTGCATGACTTCACGCCAGTGTTGCATGCATTGTGCAGATAGGTGCAGGTCAGACATAAACATTCCTGCATATCTTTACTGCGCCATTATTAACTCATAGATTGGCTGCATCTACCATTTAGATCCCTTTTGTAAAGGAGAAATTTTGCCACAGATGTTGTCAGCACATTACAGATGTAGCATTGCACTGGCGATGTATCACCTTGGCTTTTGGTGTCTCATACACTTACTATGTATAATATAAAAAATATGCAATTAATGTAATATTTAGAGATACACTGATGCTGGAATTGTGGTCTACTGTTGATGTTCACTGGAACAGTGTGAGTTCTTTCTTATGAATATATAATGTAGCTATTTCAGAGACTTTTAGCTCTTTATGACTGTCTGAAAATGTAGCTACTGCAAAATCATGGGACACAACAGATAAATCAAATATTGGCCACATCTTCATTTACTGATGTTGATAAAAATCTACAAGTCTGAAATCACCATTTTTTTTTTTGACAGGATTTGCCCTTTATGTGTAGTATGAGAGCAAACCCTCTTGTCCTTGAAGTGGGCTATTTGGCTACGTTCACACTGCAGGTCTTAATGTTCAATTCCGATTTTTTGATCAAATCCGAATTTTTTTGTCTGCTTGTTCACACTACAAATAAAATGTGACAGCAAACATGCTCTAGTGTGAACACTCAAAGCGGCCCGCATGTGCAAAAGAAGACGTCACACACAACGTGCTCTGTTTAGACCCAGACCAAACAATATTGTTTGACTGATGGCCCTTAATATAAAGACTTGTGTCGGACTTTACGTTTCCCAATTTTGCTTTAAGTTGTAAAGTTATTTTGTTATTTACATATGGCCTAACAATGATCCTTATTGCTGTTTTAGAGAGGAGCGGTGCTTCAAAGGATAGTTGCAGATTTCTGTCAGAATCTGCAGATTATACAGTACAAATAAATTATTCACGTTTCTTCAACGTTGTCTTCCCAACAGTTTCACTGGATGGCCAGGAAGTGTTCGCGATGTCTTATCTGGCGCTTCACCGGCGCTGATAATTGCCGTCTGTCTTGTGTCAGTGACGTAAAAGACGGATTTAATGCGACATGACCGTTCAAACAGCAGTCGCTTTCTAAAACATCAGATATGTATCGGATTCAGTACCACATACGAAAGTGACCCAGATCGGATTTGAAAATTATCGGATTTGTGCCGTTCACACTGTCATACCATGATCGGACATGGGTCGCATAGGGTCAAAAAAGTTGGATTTGATGCGCTTTCGCCTGCAGTGTGAATGTAGCCTTTGAGAGGCTGACTCTGCCCCCCAGCATTATATTTACTGCTTCTGCTATTACCTCTGTCTAAAGGCTGTGTAATTTGACACACAACCATTTATTTATATTCCAGGCGTCATATTTTCGAAATATCCATTTACCACAGTGCCCCATTTATAGTTTAATATGTGATTACTGATTATGGAACATCTGTAGTTTTGTGTGTTGGGTATTTTGTGGGCTGTCCCTGGGGGGAAATGGTTTCGCTAAAGGGCTGCGCTTCTCGGTGAGGTGGAAGTTTAATTATCGAGCTGCTAAAGGGTTGCAGTGACATTCCTAATACTAATGCAATAATTTGCGCCGAGTAGTATATACAGACAGCAGCCTCTCGGTGTGACAGGAAATTGTGATGGCGCATTTAATCGAGTGCCTGATAGAAATGATTAAAAAAAAATGAAATGATTAAAGTATTCAATCCTTACAATTCCTCCTCTACTAATGGATGCTATTTTTGTATGACCTTATGTGTTGCTATAGCAACTGCTCAAGAAAGGAAAATTTGGTTTATTCAAGAGGCTTATTTGCTCTACATATCTTGAGGCATTGGTAGTGTGTTAGCCCTGCATCGTGGTAACAGAATAAAGCGTTTTAGCGCAACTTCACCTATTTCCAACATGTATGGAGGAAAACAAAGTCTGAAGCAATTAAAGCTCAAGCAACATGTATATAAAGAACAAGTTTAACATTGACTGATTCAGCTTGTGGCCTTCAGGATCATTATAAAACGTGCTGCAGGCAACATTTTAATGTGTGCAGACTAAATAAATAAGTAAAAACATTTCTATATGGCCAACATACATATCCATGAAAGAGGCAACAGCACAGATGGCTGGGTGTATGGTCATGTGGCTTAAAGCCAATCATTGTCCCTGAAAATGGGGTGTGCCCAATAGAAAACCAGGGTGGTACTTAATGTGGCACTTAGACAGGAAGAGTGTAAATAACTGGGGTTATTTAAAAAAAGAAATCCCCATCTAGTATCATACACATATCCACTACAAGGGGCACTTTAAAACAACAGGAAGAAAAGTACAGTGGGTAAATAAAATGACGTATGCATGTAAATGCTTTTCACAAAAAGAAAAAGTGCTTTCAAAGGGATATGTCATCCAAATAAAATGGTGTAAACTATTAAAAAAATGCTCTGAAATCATAAAAAGAAAAAAATACACATATTTTGGAACCACGGGGAAAATCATATTAATTAAACATATTCTTTGATATTATTAGGTTAGGGTCTTTTTTAAAATAAAAAATCAATAAATATAAGAGATATTATTGTCTGATATAGGATTATGTTCAACATTCCTGTGTCTTCCTTGTTGTACTTTTTTATTTCACGGTGCAACAAATGTTTTGAGATGGTGAAAGGTCTGAATTACCAGCAGGCCAGTTCAGCACCTTGGGCTCTTTGGATGAGAAACCATGCTGCTGTAACAGATGAAGTTTGGGGTTTAGTATGCCCTACAGAAATATTCAATCCCTTCCCTGAAAAAGTTTGTGATTTGGATCAGAATATATGTTGCTCTGAAGCCAGTATATCTTTTTAGCTTTGATGCTGCCTTTGCAATCTTGCAAATTCATAGGTACTAATGCACCGTTATACCCCATATCATACGGGTCAGAGATGCAGGCTTTTGAACTGAGCACTGATAACTGCAGAGCTGCTTTTAAGTTTGAAAACATTTGCTCGGAAGAGTGTGTTGCAACTTGTGTGGTTGGTACACAGATTGCAACATTTACATCAAGGTTAAAAGTGTCAATCACTGGCCTGCAAAGTTACCATTTTAAAACTCTAGATTTCCAGAGTCCTGCACTTATAGCAGAATCTTAAAATATGTACAGCTGTAAGAATTCCTTTATAGTCCTTATGGATTTATAGTGAATTGTTATAGCATTAACATTAATAATCGAAGAAGGATGAAGCATTTTAAAATAATTGTACTTGTGCTATATGTTTAGTTTTTGGACATTTTATGTTGCATATTATTTCATTGCCTTGTCAGATTGTTTCTGTTCAGATATCCTATTTGGATCAACTGGTGAAAGTTGTGAATGTGTTCTTTGTTTTTCTTAGCTGTCCTTATTTACACCGGACCACTGGTGACACAGAGCGCAAGTACCATCTACGATATTACAAGACTGGCACTTGTATCCATGAGACAGATGCTCGAGGGCATTGTGTGAAGAATGGCCTCCACTGTGCTTTTGCTCATGGGCCACATGATCTCCGACCTCCAGTCTATGATATCAGGTGACATGCAAAGCAAATAGTGGCCTCTTTTATGCCTGCCAGACTTTTCACTCAGAGCTTACAATGCACTTAGCAAATGAGCTACATTAAACCCCTGCAGTGCAGAGTAGCTATTTTGTATGTGTGGATTTGGTTTATAGAGACTTTTTTTTCTGAACAAGTTATAATATATAAATATGTTTTAATGAGCTTAAGGAGTCAGTTCAAATCAGTGCATACACTCATAAGTAATGGTCATGTACTGCTCTGCTGACTTTCATGTGAGCTGGACAAGTAAAACACATCAATGACAACCTGTTAAAAAGAAACACCTCCAAATTTGTCTTTATTTCTCATGTAAAGACAGTCTGACAACATTAACAATTAGCTAGTCATTTATAAAACAAGTTACAGCCAAATTAAGAAAAAGAAGACATCATGTCTTGGTTTTTCCAGCATGGACTACACTCACATTACAAAGAAATGCTACTATTGAAGATGAAAGAAGGGTGTGGGCACAGGGTCTTGGTTTTCACGCTGTCTGTCTTTGTGAAAGTGACAATGGTTCAGACTCAGATGAAATTACCAGCTCACACTACTACTTTAATGACATCATTGTCAGTGTTTCTGCTGTAACTTCTCCAAAATCCCTTAAAAGTTTTACTCTCAAAAACCATTACAGTGGGCCCTGTTGGATCCTTTAGTGGTCCAATTCCAGCCCACAGGCCGTAGGTTTGCAGTTTCCTTTGGATGTACTATATACAGCTAATCCATGATATGGTGTCTCTTTATATTTATTTGTGTTGTATTTTGAGTTTCAAAGTAAGCAAATATCATTAGATTGAAACTTGTTTTTGACTGGTTATGAGAGTAGGCTTGGAGATTTCCCCTTCAGAGTGTTTTTCAGTTTCCTTTAAAAGTGTTTTTTGGTGTTGTTGTTGCTTTGTTTTTGTTTTTGTTTTTTTTGTTTGTTTTTTTTAAGGTACACTGAGTTAAAAATGTTTTTAACTCTTTATGCACAGAGAAATCCAAGCACAAGAGGCCCTCCAAAATGGACAGTTGGGATCTGGGGAAGGGATTCCTGATTTGCAGCCTGGTGTGCTAGCCAGCCAAGCTATGATTGAAAAAACTCTGACAGAAGATCCCCGGTGGCAAGGTTAGAAACTCCAACTTGCATGCCGTTTGTTGTATTGAATGCTAATCAAATCAATGTTCTTTATTTATTCGTTTTGTTTATTTATTTATTTTTCATTGTAATAGGGATAAGAAAGTAAACTGCGATGCCTCTTTTTGCAGATACCACTTTTGTTTTAGCCAATTATAAAACAGATCAGTGTACTAAGCCACCCAGACTATGCAGACAGGGCTATGCTTGCCCCCACTACCACAACAGTAGAGATCGGAGGAGAAATCCTCGAAAGTTCAAGTACAGGTGAGTTTTCATTCTGTATAAGTTAAAATATGAAGGCTTCTAATTCTAAAATGTTAAAGCTGCCTCTTCTGAATGCAGGTCAACTCCTTGCCCTAATGTGAAGCACGGTGATGAATGGGGCGAGCCCTCAAAGTGTGAAAGTGGAGACAGTTGCCAGTATTGCCATTCTCGTACCGAACAGCAGTTTCATCCAGAGGTGAGTTAAGTTTGTTTTAGTCATGATGCGAGTTTTTCAAGCTTAGAGTGAAAATACAATGGCCATAATGCATAATATGATGTATTTTTGAGCATTAGTTGTGCCTAGAAGTAGTGTGAGATGTCAACAAAATGTTCATAGAGATGCTTATAAGCAAAAAACTCTTTCACTCCCATAATTTTAACCTATTTCTCATCTACATATCTACCAGCTTGCAAATGGTTCATTAACATTTGGTGTTAATGCTACATTTAAAAAATTAAAAATTTGTAATAATAAGATTATTTTAAAAATAAGATTATTATTATAATCATAATTCTAAAATTAAGATTATAATAATAAAGATTATTGCACATTTTCATTACTAGTACATGTCCATGGTACTGTATTTCTTGTCCTGTTCATCTTCTTGCCAGACAGATACTGTACATGTGTCATTGAGTGGATGTTGTTTATATGGAAAAACAGAGTAATTTTAGCCTTGTTGCTAGGCATGTACAGTTAAACTTTTGTGATGTAAGTTGTTGTTGTTGTTGTGAAATTAAAACAATAGGAAGCTTTCATAAGGTGCTGAAGGAAAGGCTAAAAATGGATTGTCACCCATTGATAGGTGGTTTCCAGGCAACATGATGGCATTAGATCCTGCGTAATTCAACTTCTGTGGATATAGATTCAATTCAGTTTTATTTATCTAGCAGTAGTTTATAACAACTGCCACCTCAAGATGCTTTATATTTATTTTGTTTATTGTAAGTAAAAAGCCTACAATATCAGTGGTATAGAATGAGAGGTCCCCCCAGGAGCCTAAGCCTGTAGCATAACCATTGGCTGGTTCAGGGTCACCTGAACAGACAGATTTCATGTATTACAGTCATATCACTCATCTCCTCGGTCTCTAATGTATGAACCATAATATTGTTTTGTTGATGAGACTGACGCTGTGGTTAGTTTTCTATAGTGAGACACATTTTCATCTTATTTCTTTATAATCCTGATTTTCTGTCTCCCAAGATCTACAGATCCACCAAATGCAATGACATGCGCCAGACTGGATACTGTCCCAGAGGACCGTTTTGTGCATTTGCACATGTAGAAAGTAAGTGCATGTTTGCCTTAATACTATCTGAGTACAGTGAAAAGGATTTGAGGGTGTTTTGAGACTTAACATATACATATGTTATGTTTATATGTTTTTAGGAATTCCTTCTACAGAAGAGACCATGAGCTCATTGCTAACAGCGATACAGTCGAGTTCTCAGTCCCAGCTGAGCTCTCAGCAGTATTCAGAGTGTCCAGTCACTGAGTGGAACAGTGGAGGAAACTCCACCAACAGCATAGCCAGTAGCAATGGACAAATAGGAAGTGTAGGTTGTCTCCATTTCTCACTCACACGAGACACAATTTTAAACAGTTTGATTTCAAACGTCTGAGAACTCTGTCATCACTTTCATAGCTCATCCATTGTGATGTTTTTATTTCGTGTCATTTTTTTGTATTCATCGTTTTTATAAGACCATGTGCACTTGTCTTTCTCAGGTTTCATGTTCTAATAGCTCAACTGTAACGTCAAGCTCAGGAAGCGACACTTTGTTATCCCCAATGGGATCCATCAGCAGCAGGCTCAAATCCTTAAATAATAATAATTCATGTTCAGAGTCCACCACATCCAGTGTCTCATCTCTGATGTCTAACTATCCCAAAGCTCCGGGCTTTGAACGTGAAGATCAGGTACACAGACTGCTCTCTCTAACCTCGGGAAAACTAAACCCCACACACAGCTTAGGGCTTTACACTTTTATCGCAGCCATTTGTCACTCGTTTATTGTTTGCCATGCCATTTTAATTTGACCACTTCAAGCCCTTTTCCTCGTATTTCATTGTTTGCTTGTCATGTCATTGATTTCTTTAAAATATCCCATTACGTACATGCACTATATGTATGTGATGATGACTTGTTAAATGTTAAACACCTGTCGAATATTACAGGACACTTTAAAGTCATTTTAAAGCAATTGAAAAAGAGCTAAAACTTTGTTTTTGAGACGCTACACTAAGGCCCAGTATAAGATGAAATAACTAGAACTGTGAATCATGGAAAGCTGCTTTATTAGAGCCCTAGAATAAAAATATGGCATAAAAATGGTCTCCACCGCTCCCCTGCAGCTGAGCCGCAAACCACATCCTGGACTTTAAAATGAACATAATATGCTCACTTTATGGCATTTCTGTTCGTCTAAAGAAATGTCAAATCTTCTGAGGTGTAGCATTGTCTTATGATCAAGCTGACCAGCAAATAGTTTCGGTTCTTAAACTGCATTTGTGGTTTTATAGTTCCTTGCTAAGAATTCCCCTAAAGGGAATTTTTTAATGTTTTCTGGCTTTATAGAAGACTTCCACTCACAGTAAAATGTTACTGTCCCCTGCACTCACGATTTGCTAGTGCTACAAGATGAAGGCAGAATGAAGTAACGTGATCGTTTTAATTACAGTCTGCAGTCAGTCTGAAGAAAGTTGCTCCATAAATGTTAATCATCAGAATGACAAGAGCCGTGAGCGCTGCGAAGCCTAAGTGCAGGGACGGTGAAAAATGGTTAAGATAAAATGTGTTAGTCCAGGGCAGGTGCAATAAAACTATTTTGATTAATACTGGCTTGATGTAAAGGATATGGCACTGAAATAGACTGTTTCTTTGCCATTTGATCATTTCCAGATTAAGAACAAGGGACAGGTGGATCAAAAAATGATGGACCAAGAAAAACAGGTTTGTTTTTAGTGAGTCATTTAGATAATGTGTTTATTTTATTATGAAACTTGTAATTGAGAACATGGGAATTAAACGCTTTACTGTGCTTTGCTTTTAGACACAAAATACTGTATTCTCTGTGGTGAACCCATTGGCATCAAGCTTTACCTCCAGTATAACATCAAGCTTGGCCTCTAGTATTGGTTCAGACAGTTCTTCACCCACCACCTTATCAACGATGAATGCAAAAGCCACTCCTTTCTATCCAGGGAGCAACACAGTGGAGTCTGTCATTGGTAAGTGTATGCAAAACAAAGGGAAAACAGCTTGAACTGACTGTCACTCTGCAGTTTGTTGTCAAATTTCAGTCAGATTTATTTTGTTTCCCGTCAGGATCCGCACTGGACCTCAACTTTAGTGACATTAATGTTGCATCGCTTGATAAGGAGTTAGAGGATCAAGATAACAGTGTGGGAATGGCAGGTAAGGTCACTTCATATGTTTCAAGCACTTATTCATCATAAATCCTTCCATTAGGATTTGTGTGTTTCTAAAGAACACCTTTATATGCTTTGTCCTTCAGGTCAAAGGGTGCTAAGTGGATCTGCTCCTGTCAACATTCCTGGCTCATTGGCACGATCATCTTCTTTTAATTCTTCATCATCGCTCTCCACCTCCCCTCTAAGTTCTCTCTCCCAGTCGCTGTCACAGTCCCTGCTGTCTGGGACAGTATCTCAGCAAAATCAACCTTCAAACATGCTAGCCAAGCAAGAGCACGGCCTTCTGGGAACACCCACCTCCTCTTCCCAGAACTCTCTGGGTAAGCTGATCACATTTTCCCCCGAGCAAGCTGGAAAGCATTTGCTTTCATCAGCCCCTTCCTTCAGCTTCCCTTCGGTGTTTAATCTAGTTCTGTGTGCAGTAGTGAAGCTGAAAGTATGACTAATAGAGATGGATCGTGTAAAAAGTGACACAAGTTAGTGCAACCAAGATTTTGTTTAATCTAAATCGCTCTTATCTTAACACGTCGCTCACCTAGGCTTGAACGGAGGAGCTAGCAGCATTTGGGACTTTGTAAGTGGCAGCTTTTCACCCAGTCCATCTCCAGTTTTCAGCAGCCTATCCTCCACAACCACCAGTGCTGATGTGGCCCGCCTTTTCAGAGAGCTGGATGAGGCCAAGAGGAAGATCAAACAATTTGAGGAGGCCTGGCATCAGGTGAAGCAAGTAAGTATACACACTGACTGTGTGCCAGTTATTTCCCTTTTTATACTTTTTTTTTAATTCAACCCTCACCTTTGTTCCAGGCCTGTGAAGCTTGCCAGAAAGACGCTCATGAAGCAAAGGAGCAAGCAAAGACAGCAGAGGCAGAGCGGCAGCTGGCAGAACAGAAATGGGAAGAAACAGAGCGCAAGCTGAAAGAGCTCCAGGGGGACTTTGATGCGCTTTGTCGCACCCCTGGAACACCTCTTCTACGTAGCTATGGAGAGCTGGACCAGCTTCCCTTGTCTAAGCTTCACTCCATCCAGAGTCAGCTGCGTAATGACCTAGACCTTATAGATGGGGTAAGAAAGCCCAGAGCACACACAGCATTTCATTTGTAGCATTGGTTTCGTTTTAAAACAGTTTGTCAGACTGTCATTCAGATCCATGTTTGTCATCAAGCATGTTTATTTGAAAAGTCTGCATGAACTGCATTTCCCTAAGTTGCAGCTGATCTCTATTCTCTTCTTCCCCCAACAGGTAATATATCAGCTTCAGTCAAAGAAATGTATAGTTTGCCAAAAGCATGATCGTTGCATTGTTCTGCAGCCTTGCCAACATTATGTACTCTGTGAGAACTGTGCACCTAGTAAAACAGAATGTCCCTACTGTAGAACAAAAATATTGAAGTGGTGATGTACAGTTACTTAAGGTACTATTTAATCAATTAGCCCTTTGAAAAACTACTAATAGATATTACAATTTTCTACACAGCAGTGTCTGTTAGGATGAAATGGTGTTTGACTGACCAAACAAATAGTATTATCAATCAGATTGCATACAGGGGATTCAATCGTTATGGTTTTTGCTCATTTTATGTTCACTTGACATCAAATAGCCAAGCACTTTCTATATGAAAACCAGGCACTTAGTTAATGAATAATATGGAATCATGATTAAAACATTGTACAGGACATAAAATCAGGCCCTCCTAGCACACAGCCACCTGTCTACTATCCCACCTAGGCAAGAGTACATACAAAATTATACATTAGAAGTCTGCTACTAAGCTTACTTAAAAATTCCGTACATAAGGACTGAGTTTGTATCTAAATGCAATGCTTATAACTTACAATTATGAACTGTTTTAATGTGAATAAACATTAAAGCATTGAACCATAAGGATGTTAGGGTGACATCTCAAAAATTGGCAAATGTTGGGAACATGGTGGCCATCCAAAGCTGAGGTTATTCTGCTGATGGTAAAGCTAAAGTGAGCAAAACTCAAAGCAGATATGTCTTTAATTACAGAGGAACTCATCCGTATCAAAAAATAACAATTTGGAAACCATTCAAGAAACCAGACATCCTAGCACCAAGTGACTGATGTCTAGTCCAGGAATCGCATATTTGTTTTAAGCTCAATTAGTCTGATCAGGAAAACAATATGTGCACTGGTGGTGTATGTGATGGAGAACCACAAAGCAGGTCCGTGTCAAGCTGAATTAGTATACATTTCATTATTAAACACAGCGCTACGAGAACTGTTTATGTGATGAAAACCACATTTTCATTGTAGTAAAAAAACAGATTCATAAAATACTAAAGATCCAGTAAGGTTTGTCATCTTTAAATCAAGAGAAAATCTCAAAACACCATTTAAAGCAGTCCTCTTTAATTAAAGTCATATTTTCTTTAAACCCTCCAAAATAAAATTTCACCAACTTTCTTTTTTAAATGCAAACAGTCAAGCATCATTATTTTGACCAACTTTCTGAAGAAGTTTTTCTTATTAAAAGCACTTTGTTGACCTGGGACTTTATTCAAGGGTATATATAAATATATATAAATATAGAAATTTGCTTTAAGCTGCTTTGTAGGTATTCTTTTGTGTCTTTATTTTTTAGATTTATACATTTGTTTTCTACATAATAAGCTACACAATGTCTGAAGCTTTTGTGTGTACTGTGAAACATAATTGAATATTTCATGTTTCCTATTGTTAGATCATAGCATGGTTCTACATATTAAGATTTCATTAAAAAAAAGTACTTAATAGTTTCTACTTTCATAACTAGATTTATAAAAATTTCAATCAAATAAGTGCAAATTTAAACTGCACTTTAGGCATAACCAGCAGCTGTAATATCAGTAAGGCACATGCTACATGTTAAGGCTGTTTTTCAATCAGTTTTGTTTTGTAGAAATTTATATAGCCTATCCATTAGAGAAGCATGTATTGTATTTGCTATAAGCCTGAAACTGGGATTTTTTTTTCCTTTTTTCCCCACTTTTTTTTTTTCCTCTTATTTTTTGTAGGAATCTAGCCTCTTGACCTTGTCTAGAACATATCGGCCTCTAACTCTAAAGTGCCTTGCCTTAGTTCAAAAGGTTATGTGTAGAATTGTCAACGCAAACACAAGTAGTCAAAGCTTGTGCACGCGTTTTCTGCAAAATGTGTATTTTAATTCTGCAGAGGCATTGACATGTTTATGACTATATGTGTGTAAATATAAATATATGCCAGTGTATTTGGCCAAATTCCATTAAGTATTTCTGCAGAAGATGATTGAATATGAAAATTGTCAGTGCCTGTGTCCTGACTTTGCCCTTAGAAATGAACCTTCCCCTCCACCTACCCACTCACCCACTCATTCCTTGGTTGTGGTGCTCTTTTGGTGCAGCTTCAGTCTTTGAATTTAGATTTCCAGTTTAAGATTTGGGAGTATGCAAAGTTAGGCCACATGAATTTATACGGCAACATACAAAATGCTTTTTTTAAACAGTTCAGTAGGGTTTGTTGTAATGATTCTGCAGTGAATGAAGATTTCCACAGTAATTTTCTGCGTTGGGTTTGTGCTTAGATTCCCGTAATTCAGATGACCTTCTACTGTGTTTAAAAAAACAAACAAAAAAAACCCTTTTTATTCTTGCTTTAAAACCAGTAGAAAGTCATGCATCTCCAGGTACACTTTTTGCTACTTATAAATGGGAAAATGCATTGTTTACATTTACACAGATGACAATTAAGAAACTCAGAGGAAAAATATCAAGAAAGGTTAATGGTATTTTAGGATTTTCATGATTATATTAAAGCATAAAAGGCAGGCTAATCATTTCATGTATTGCATGTTATGCGATATATTAACCAGCTACACAAAAGGAGAAAAAAGAAGAAAAAAAAAATGTTCGCACTGTGTCACACTGCCAGAATATTTGTACTTATTTTAGTGTAGTTAAGGCTTAATAACTTCTGCAAGCTTCGCTGCTACTGGAAAAGGTATTAATGTAGTTTCTTGTAAACATTTAGATGTTTGAATGTTGTTGTGCATCCACAGCTCAGATTTCAGATCCTGGAATAATGTCTTCTGCATCTAACTTGACTTAATCTTTTTTTCTTGTTTCAAATTGAATTCTTCATTTGCAAATTCATTTCAGTCTAAGTTTCAGTACTTTTGTAAATCCTTAAAATGATGTCAAGGACCTGCACTACAGTAGATGGTCCCTTTTTTGTTTATTTTTATTTTAATTGATTGAAGGTTGGCTTTGTTTCCTCACCCCCCTATACACTGGATAGCAGTGTACAGTGCAGCTAATTCACAGTATCCTTTTGTTCTGTTTTGTTTTGCCTGTGAAGCCAACAAAATTAATGATGTCTAGTGGGGAAAATCTAAAAATGAACCAAAGCGGTGGTCTAGTAGCTGTCCAATTATGTATTATGAGGGGAAAATTTACCCTTGAACAGAATTCAGACAAGTACTCGAGTATTGGGCAGATCACCCTGTAGCTGTCAGCATAGCTCGGTCTTTCCCGAATCTCTAGGTGAGACAGCGTTGTGAGTGGCAGGAATTCTATTTTTAGATGGATTTATTGTAATTTGTTTTGCATTAATATTTCATTCAGTATATCCTGAGTCAATAACAGGACTTTGCCAGTGGCTTTCGCTTACAACAGTAACAGACTTGAGCCCATGTTTTGTAGTTTTACCAAAGACCTGTATTGTTATTTCTTTTCTACTACATTTCATCATTTGTCTTCATTAATGAAAAGTGAAATTGATTTTAAAAAGTAAATCACCTAGTACCTTAAATAGTTAATGTTCATTAACAGTAATCTTTTTTTTTCTTTCTTTTTTCTATCTAAAGCTTGTCATAGTGAGTGGCAGATGATTATAAATGCATGGGTCAGATCCTTACAAAATGTGTATTCGTACATTTGATTTTTGTATTAAGTATACATTGACGTTTATGGCACATTGTGCAGTACTGGCAAGCACATGCTGACCTTAAGCGCGGATTCAGTGTAAGTTTAATTGTTGTCTACAGTGAAGGAATGTCAAAGGTGAATGACATTTGTGCTTCTGAAGTGGCCATATAAACTTCACTACTGTTGTGAAGTCAATTTTGTTTGTTGATTTTTGCTTATCTACATAAAAATCAGTTTGGAAATGAATAGCATTGTGTACTGTTATGCTAGGCCTGTAAGGTGCTTTCTTTTTATCCGACTCTTTTTTCTGTTTCTTAAAGCCGTGGTCCAAATTAGTTGTTGTTTTCCCGGGGACAGATGACAATTGTGACGCATCAATTGCAGATACAGACATAATTCCACTTAATTTGTTGCTGACCCTCAGTCTCTCTAGAGACTAGTCTACCTGCCAAAAATTTCTAGAAGAAATCAAACGTTCTCTTTGGAAGCACAGCTTGGTTTTTCTTTACATTTCTTCAGATTTCTTTAATTGTTTCTCTCGGACCAATTACGCTTTCAAATGTGTCTGTGCCTTTTAATAATTCTGTAATGTGGATTAATTGAAGAGACAAAATATAACTTGCTCAATTGGAATCAAAAGTTCAGTGCCTTACAGTATTTTGTGGACCATAATGTGATCGCTAAATGTCTCATACATTCAGCCTACTTCAGCTGAAAGGAAAAAGGCTAATCTAATGAGGTTTGCTTCACCAGTTTAAGAGGATGAAGCAGATTTATTATTATTTTTTAACTGACTGATAATCGTCTGTATTTGCCATGCACTTCAAGAAAACACAGCAACGCCCGACCACTGAACACACAGATCTGATGTGGATTTGTCATTTGATATCAGAAACCCAACAGTTTGCAAAGAAAAGCACCAAACAGGGAGAATCTTGTATATGAACTGTAATAGATGTATCATTATGCTCTGCATTGGAATAGTTTAATCTATTTTGCATTATTGTTAGTTGTTGTGTCTTCTTTGTTGTTGTTTTTTTGTTTGTTTGTTTGTTTTTAACATTATAAAAATGGAGCCAGAAGATTTATGCAATCTTGTACATGTATGGAGCTGTTCAAATTAAGTAAAAAAAGAAATATTAGTGTAAAGTCAAAAGTAAATGATCTTAATGTGGAGCCGGTTGTTCCATGTACTTTAGAAAATTTCAGTAAAAATGTTATTTTAACATTGAAACCCTGAAATATTGAATGTATTGCTCTAAATTAGAATTTCAATGAATAGGTCACTGGATATTATGGAGCGCAGTTAATTGATTATGATGTAGCATCTAGTTGTGAACTTCTATTCAATAAAATTTATTAGAACTTAAACAAATGCAAGTTTTCAAGTTTCTATTTGTTAGCATAATCATAAAATAACTATAAAGAAAGAAATGTATTTTTCTCAGGGTAAAACAGTGATTTGTTAGAGAATGTTAAATCTGAGGAAACTGCATTTCATGGATCTATTTACTTAATGTAAGTGGGTTTAGACATTATAGATTAAAACATATGTCCCTTATTTTGTGATGAGCTGTATGGATATGTAGGAAATTCTATACTGATAATTGTAGAAATTATTCTGTTGGTATATATTGATATTTTTGTGTTGTGAACACAAAAACAGGTGCAAGTCTTAGAATACTAGATGTTTCTTTTCTACATTGAGGATTGTGTACCGCATATTTACTGTAGTGTATTACTAGTTTGTTAACACTTGTTAAATTGTTACACTACAGTTATGCAATGGTTTACAGAGTTCACAAAATTATTTTTATCATCTTGAGAATTAAAATAATTTTTCATCTGAAAAGTGTGACTAATTTTTGTCTCAAACACAACTGACAGAAAAAGATTTTGCGCCTTAAAGAGGAAGTGGACTAGCAGAGGAGGCAAAATGCTGTTTTTGAATAAATATTTATTGAACAATATCTAAAAAGTAAAACAAGTGAAAGCTATAAATTTCTATGCACTTTTTGGAGCAACCTTTGGAAAATATGCTTATATGTGCACACATTTGAATGTTTATGGCATAGTGACGTCACAGCTCTCAGAAGACAAGGTATCAAATAGGTAGCATATCAGCAGCATAGCCTGGAAAACAATATAAAATGAACAAACTTCAAATGTATATTAACACATTGTTAGGGTTATTAAGCTGCTGAGGATGTGGTTTATTTAAATATATTAAGAATAAAAAAGAATCAAAAGTTGATATTTTTCAGGTGTACCTCTTTTTCATTTTCTGGGAAGACAATGCTTTTCCCTACTTGCTCCAGGTCTGGCCTTTCCTTGTAAATCCTGTTGCAATAATGCAGAATTTAAAAAAATAAATAAACAAAGTCTAAGTTTATCAAGTTTGTTTTTCCTCCATACCTTTTAAGAATCAGGCCAAACTCGGTTGCGATATTTTCTCTTCGGAGAGCCACGATGAGACAAGGAGTTGAGTTGATCTTTTGAGAGCATAAGAAAACAGCCAAAGTCAGCATCTGACTGCACTGTCTGCATGAATTTATGGTCCAAATAAACCTGTATCAAGGTCCCATTCCTCACCTTCTCCCTTATGCTTGACGCTTTAAGTGTCTCTGATATATGTTTTTGCTGCTCATCATCTAGGATGCTCATCCTTCCTGCCACTAGATGGCAGTCTGATCCCAGCACCTGCTCCACTATCTCCAGTTGAGAAGGCACTTGGCTGCCTGGTGTAGCGTTCAAGGGTATCAGCAGACAGGTTGTTTGCCTGTGCTTCAGGGACCCTAGTACCAACAAACAAGCAAAACAGAACATTTGTTTGCGTACAGCTTACAAAGGTTACCTGGAACTGAGTCATATTTCAACATCCTTTCCAAGAGAACCTCTGCCAAAAAGATAAATCATTTAAAGGGACATATTTGCTTAAAAATAACTAGTGAACTCTGCAATGTTCACTGTTGTCAATTAAACTGAGTCATATTTAATAATGGGGAGATGTGGATTCATTAATATGAGTACATGGCTAATGCGTTATGATTAAAAGGCATAGGTGCTCATAGCTCTGTTTTGTCAGCAACAATACTGTATAATTAAATAAAATATTAAAGAAAACACCAGAACCTCCATTTGGTCGTGATTCAGAGGAGACTGAAAGACTTTCCTGAGCTGCTTGAGTCAGTGTGCAGCTCCGCTGACGCTCTACGGAGGCTAATGGGTCTGAACATAAGCTGAGTATCTGGGGAAAACAAATCATCTGTTTTTTAGCCAAAATTACAACCCTTGTATTCAACATAGGATGGCTTTGAAGTCTGGTTACCCATGTCCCGTG